GCGCGACCGGCCGCGTTTCGCGTCTCTACGGCTCTGTTCTCTCGTCTCTTTTGACGATCCTCTCTGCCCCCACCGCTCCTGGCCGGCCTGTTACTCATTCATTCAGAGAACCGGCGGCCGAGCCCGCTCCGAACGAGCATAATGCCGGTTCTTATACGAATCGGGTCGCCGATGGCCGGACTCGGCGAATCAGAATGGGAGCTTAACGCGCCCGTTCTTGCGTTTTCGGCATTAATCATTCGTCGCACCGCGCGTAGAGCTCCTTCTTCCCGCGATAGGTTATTCCTGGCTCGAGCGGCCGCCGAGCGCTCCTTTTTATCTGGAAGCTATCGAGAAAGAAGCCGCGTTCCCCGTCTGTTCACGCTGGGATTGCTGCATCGGTTAACTCTTCGAGGCGCGCACGATTTTAAAGAAGAAAACGAGCCGAGCCGCGCGGAATTCAGCGCGCCGCGCGGTACGCCGATCCTTAATCACGACCGTCTCGACAACTTACTAACGCGTGTCGACTTGTATACATTTTCCTTTACATTTATTCACGCGTTCACCGTTAGTTCGTAGCGTTGCCAACTAAATGACACGCTCCCCGGAAACTTCGAGCCGGGAAACGAAGCCGATACTCTTCGCCGTGGTGTCCTCAGACTCGAAACGCAGTCGGATCACGCTCGAATGGTATCTCGTTTCGACTCGGATACAAATATTCCCTGTTGCGCGGAGATAAAATTGAACGGTGATCGATCTTTTGTGCCTCGGCGTGCACGTCGAGGCTAAAGATAGGTGTACCCGTCGTCTCCGGCAATTTCTCCGGTGGCGTTCTGTCAGATCTAATGAAATCTGCTCGAGCAGATACTTCGATATTCATTCGGAGACCGTAAGGACAAAAGAGCACGCCGCGCCGGGCTATTTCGAGCCGCGCCGAGGAAGGTGAGCGAGGAGCGAGACCGAGCGAGCACGGTTTCCGAGAAATCATTACGGATTGCATCACTGGCGATTCGTGCGACGATTAATTTATATAGGCGCGAGCTGCGTGTACGATGCACTGCGATCGCCGCGACGCGTGGGCGGCCGAACGGTTCGCCTCAGCCTCCCCCGAAACCATTGAATCGCACTTCTCTCTGTACCACCACCGGATTCTCTATCGTTATACGAGGTGGAACATGGGACGGTTCCCTGGCGCCGATATCGACGAATACAAATAATCCACTTGCCCGCTGTTATCATTCCCACCGAGCTATGAAGAATAAATGACATGAAATTCCGCGGGAGAACCAGTTCCTCGTTCGACAACCGGTAAAACGTCGCGCTGATTGTTTTGGAGTAACGGAGAAACGAGGTGTGGGATGAAGATATAATGACCACTCACGGGAGAACAAGTAAAAACAGTATAGATATGTTACAAGAAAAATGAGTATTAATGAAATATTAACGGCACTTTGGTACTAACATAAATGCGTATAATATGCAAAGGTAGAAAATCACTCTATATCAACATTTCATTTATAATTACATTACGAACGCCATCGAATATCGAACGTCATAATTTCATTACACCAAACCAAATGGTCTAAGCCACCTCTAGCAACGGTTAACTCTGACCGCACCTCGCAAGCCGCAGCTCGCGTGCGTCTCTTTCGGCCTTCGTCGAAAAAATGCGTCGAGCTTGCACCCTCCACTCTAGACAGACAGACATACATAGTTCCTCAAAATTAACCAGTGGAACCCTTTTTCGTCCAGGTCAAAGAGCGTCGTTCTGGACGACACTGAGGTCGCGCTAGGAGTCGTCGATCTTCATTTCGACTCTGGTGTGTCCAACACCATAAAAGTTGTTTTGTTTCGCGAATGGATAAAAGGACCTTACGTCTCCATTCTTCCGAAAGAATCGCAATAGGAAATTTGTCGATTTTCCATCGACAGCGAGCAGAGATTCATTCGCGCGCACCCACGACTTGGCCCATGCCTCTCGTCGCCTCGACGGACTCGGTTGGCCGGAACGCTCGGTCACGTAGCCAAACGTCGCGGTACGGAACGAATCGTCGTATCGTTCGAATGCCGATGATGAAAGAGGAAGAGATAGGTAAACAGATAGATGCGCGCGCGGAGAAAGACGGCGAGCGAGCGGCCGAGCGAGCGAACGCGTGACGAGCATCGCGACCCGGCCCGGTTATCTGCATACACGTGTTGCATGCGTACACCCACGGCCACGCAGGGGAAAATAATTATCGTGGAACACAGAGGGGCCGTTGTTCGAGCCGCGATTCGATCGTGCCCCACCGCCCACCCCCGTTAACCCCTTGCCCCGTGATTTTCTTTGTGAGCTCGTCTAACTGATCGTGCTATCAACGATTCGCGAGAAACGCGAGTAAACGGAATTTACTTGGAAGGTAGGTGATCGGTGGCAATACGAGTCCCTCGGAAGTCAATGCCGTTCAGTCTGGAAAAGGAAAATTGAGAATTCATGTTCCGAATTTGACGAGTGAATCCTTGAACAACTGAAAAGAATATTATTTGTTCCTCTTTGCTGTCCGAGCAATTAAATCATCTGCTACTCAGTGTGTCAAATATGAAAATTCGACATCCATACTTCTAGAACTCTCACGACAGGACCAGAAAAACGCAGTCCAACCGTTCGCCAGCCTATGCTCCAGAAATCTCCTTCCTCCGTTCCGATCGCTCGACAGATCACCGTGCGAAACAGAATCAGTAGCTCGGCAATCGCGGCAATTTTCCGTACACGCGGATCGCGACGTTCATCGGCCGACAGATCGAGCGTGACGCGCCGATCGGCTCCACTTATCAGCTGCATCGTTCCCGCTGCTGTTTCCTCGGTCGATCTCGAAAAATCTTGACGCGCTCCAGAATTTCCCTGACGGGATCGGCCGGATTCCAGGGCGAGCGGGGATCGAGCGGCACCGAGTCGTCTATCTCCGATTCAAGAGTGTCTCCGGGTTGGTCCGGGGGAAGGGTGAGCCGGTCGTCGGCGGGGCGGCCGGAGAATGGAATGAATTAGAGGGGAAAGAGCGGAACGAGAAAGAGTAGGAGAGCGCGGAGCGTAAAAGGCCGGTGGGTGTGCGCGAGACGGAGAGAGCGAGCGAGTTGCAGAAGGCAAGAGGCGGCGAGGGGTCGGCGAGGTTGGGGCAGAGGAGAGCGTAGGTACGGCGAGGTTAGAATGTTGCATCGCGTCGCTGCGCTGTCGTTGCATTGCGTACCGTTGCGTCACTCTCTTGTGCAGCGTTTCATTCAACTTGGAGTCCGTCGCGCGAAGGTCAAGCGGTCGTCGTTGCCTGTCGCTGCGCCGGCCCGACGCATCCTGCGATCGTCTCCCCTCCTCGGCAACCCCTTCCTCCCCTTTCCTTTCGCTTTTTCTCGGCCGGTCCGCTCCGCCGGTCCCCGGCCATGTAAATTTCCCATTAAAATCGCTCCTCGAAAGGTGTCGGCGCATTTTTACCCCCTCCCCACGCGGTCCCTCTGTTTTCCTTTTCTCCCGGTGAACGTGGAAGTTCGCGGAGCGATATTTTCGGAGCGAGCAATAGCGCGCGGCCTCTCCTTTCGACTTTGATTTCGTCCCGATCGCGTTCGCTTGCGGTTTCTCTCCTCTCTGTCCCCTGCCCTCTCTCTCTCTTCCTCCCGTGCTCGCTTTCTTTCGAGTCTCTTTGTCCCCCCACGCCTCCGTCCCGGTCATCCGTCTCGGCTTTTCTCCGTCTCCCTCCGACCGAGTACGGCTGTGTTTCTTTCTCTGTTCTCCGTTTCTTATTCAGCAATTTCGTTGCTCCTTTTCCCTCCTCGGTGCGCTCCCCTTTCATCCGCACCTCTCACCCCCTCGGCCGGCCCCGTGGCCATTCTCCTGGTCCTTCCGCCCCACCTCCCCGCTGCCCTTTTTCCGCTCTTCTCCCCTTCCGGCACGTCAACTTCAACAGGTTCACCGTCCATTCATGCCTCCGCAGAGACCGCGTCTCCTCCGCGACTCTTTGATCTAGCTCGGCGCAATCGCGACCTCTCCTCTTTCGGCTTCGGTCTCGACGTCTCTCTCTCTTTCTCTCTTACTCTCTCTTTCTCCCTCCCTCTCCGTCGTTTCACGAGCGAAGGTTCGAACCGATGCACCGCGGTTCGGCCAATTGCCGTAATATTCCGGCTAACGCGCGATTGGAGAAACCGTGCGTAATCTCGATCGAATGAAGTGAAGGGGTTCGGATAACGAAGTTTCATTAAATAATGTCGTTGCGACGGCTGCCCGTCGTCTTCCACTTCGCGGATATACCTCTCGCCGCGGGGCGATGGTGATATCGGTGAATCAGGGATGCATTGCAGCTCTTTGTCCTCGATATCTTATCTTTCATGGAATTAGAGGCCCCCAGAATCGTCGAAGAAATCTGATTCTTATTGAAAACAGTCGTAGGATACGTTGGAGAATTAACTGCTCGGTTAAATTTCACTGGTGGGACCCGAAATCGTGGAATTTCAGCGAGCATTACAGCTTCGCTGCTGGTCCCGTGGCTGACAGGTTAATAATTAATCGACGTCACCGCACGTTGCTCCGTATTCTAAACAGGAACGAACCGTCCCCGACGTTCCCCGTCGCGAGACCGACGCAACGGAGAAACGGGTCGGATTAAAAGCTGCCGGTTTTGTTTCAGCGCGATGCTAGAGGCGTGGGCAGCTATCTGGGAGGCGGCAGCATTAACGACGGCGGCGGCGTGTTGACGGTTATGGCGAAGCTGATGAAACAGGAGCTCACCTCCGACGCCGAGGAAGAGGGCCTGGTGCCTGCCCTCTCCGGCAGGTTCACCTCGATGCGGAAGGTGCCCTCTCTCTCCGACCTGTCCGATCCCGAGAGCTCCCTGGGTGAGTTTTTATCACGACCGCAGAGCGCCTCCGGGGCCGGCTCTAGCTCAGGGCTTCTCAAAGTGTGGGTCGCGACCCCACACGGGGTCGTACATGTTTCAGCAAAATTAACGTCGACGTAAATGCCGTCTACGGCCGTCCGATGAATGCAGGTGCAAATGTCGGCGATGGCGGTCTTATATTCTTAGTATTATCATGAAAAGGATATACTCATTTTATTCCGAAAGTATGGAATCTTGGTCGAATTCCCTAAGAATCAACTAATTAACAAAAAAGGATCGTTTTTGTCCGTCACCGATTTCAAAGTGAGCGTCAACGTGTTAAAGAATTGGACGCGCAGTGATTGAAGATTTATAGAAAACCATAGCATGTCTGTTATTAGGATTTATTAGCGCCAAGTGTCTTCGACCCTGTGAAAGTCAATTTATCTATTAGTAATCTCGATAAATTTAAACATTCTAAGAGTTTCACCGCCAGTTAGAAAGATAAATTACAGCGCCGGGATCAATGTGTTGGTTCGTGTTCCTAGTTTATATTCCTACGAATGGGATCGCCAAACGACGTGAAACAAAAGTTTGAGAAGCCCTGAACTAGCCTACGGTTCCGCCGGAGACCATCGATCTCCACGCGGCTGTTGTAAATTTGTTAAGTGTCGATGATGTTCTCGCTCGTTATATCGCCGATCTTTATCGCAATTCTCAGCTGAATTCTAGACGTCTCTTTACCCTGTTTCTATTTTCCTATGGAGAAAATGTTTAACCCATCCGGTAGCTTCAGAGTTCGATCAGATCGCGGAGTCTCGTTCAGATAGCTCTTCAGATTCTTCTCTAGTCCATCAAGCTCTCGGAATGTCTATCCTAGCAGTTGAACTAAGATACTCGGAGATTCTTGCATTCATAGATGCAAAGGTCACAGTTCACTTCACGCGTGAGAAAGAGATTTGGCTCGGACTTGAACTCACTGTTCCCACGAGCAATTATCTTTCGGTAAACTTCATGCGAACCTTAATCACTTGCGACGAGGTCAGCCTTCCGTAGGATCTCGTGCGAAGAATTTCGTCTCCATCTATCACACAGATCTGCACACTAATTTTATTAGTCATTGTGCACAGAGTGCTAGATATCAAACCAATCTAGAGTATGGAATAACACCATCGACTTGCATAACATGTCGTTGGCAATTTAGAAACAAACATTACGACTAATCTTGTCGCTTATTCACTTTCGATACAAATGAAACGCTACTCGTCTAAATGAAACACCAAGCAATTAATATTTCCCGATTGTCTGTGCTACAAAAGAGTAACTCTATAGAAAAATGCTGAAGATTTCCATGGCGCTTAACGCGTTAATCGAGGTAACGGTGGCGCGAGAGATCGTAGGGCAAGGGGTACACCGAGGATCTCCAGTTCCCGGCGGGCTCCGGTTCCCTTTGGGAATCGAAAAAGGCCGAAGCAGGCGGCGCACTCGGCCTCGGCCGCGTATCGAGTGTTGGCGTGAGAAAATTGCATGCTCCCGCGTATGTTTACCCGGCCGGGGTCTAGCAATCGCCGAGGCAAATGTTTCAATTAGCCGCGTACGCGGCCATTGTAGTTTTAACGCGCCGCGAGATACCTATTGTGCGCGGCGAGGGGGCTCGTCCCCCCTCTGCCCCCGCGTTGATTGCTTTAATTCGTCGCGCGTTTTACCAGCGGCGGGGGGAAGGGCCCGCTGAATTTCCCGCGGCGCGCACCGTCGAGCATACTCGTCGAGCGTTTTTACCCTTGTCCCGGGCTGATTACGAGCTACGAACACGTAACGGGTTTCCGGGCGACACCGCGTAATCCTAATCTCTGTTTATTAGCGTAGAACGGTGGGTGTTGAGTCGTCGGACCCCTTGCCAGCCTGGAACGCGTCTCTTCACCGCCCGAGCGGCGCGGGTCTTCGCGAAAACCGTTCGCGAAAGTCAATGATTCTCGCGTTCACCGCGGTGGTCGCCGATGAGCGAATTAATCGACAATTACAAGCAGAATGCTGGATATCAGGTGTTACCGTGTTTGGTAACACGAGTAACGATAGTGTAACCGAACGCAACCGAATAGTTCGATTGAAATTTCTCTGTGGGAACTGCGAGAGTGCCTATTGAGGCTTCAGTTGATTTACAATTCCATCTGCCTATCGCTGAATCAATTTCTTTAAGAGTTTCTCACAGCAACGTCTGTTATCTGACTAATTGCGGAAAGGAATCATGGGTTTCGATCTGTCTAGCAGTGTTGAGAACTGATACTATAAGCGGACGAGTTCGCAGAAGTGACCTAGCATACTTAACGCGTTCATGTAAATGTCACATGGTTAACAGTGGTTTAAGTAATGAAACCACTTTTGTCGCCACACACGCGACATTGGAGTAAGTAAAAGTCCCGTGAAGCTTATACGGCGGCGTTGCTCCGTTAAGGGTTAAAAGAGAACAAGAGCGTCCCGCGTCGCCGAAAAGCAGCCGCGATAAGGAATTCTCGAATCAGCTTTCCGCGGGTCGCTTGAAACACGATCGATTCGCGCACGGTCTATGTAGCGTCCTGTTAACCGTTGGGACTGTGACACTAAAAAGTGCACTTACACCGAGCGACGCTTGCATAATATGAGCGCTGGCTGCATAAGCACTTACTCGTGTATAACTTGTCCGATTAGATCGGGCAGACCGGCTCGCGGCGTGTTGCGTGCCGCTGTCGCGCGCTGTTTTAAAATTTAAAGCGAACAGCCGGGAGCACAGGAGGAAAAAAACGCTCGGAGCCCGTATCCTGGCGGTTTCTCTCGCGTTTCGTCGGGAACGTTCCTACGAGAACGAGACATCGTCGCGCTTGCGATCCGTCGAGTCGTTAACACGTCGCCACGACAGTCGCGAGCGTTTCGCGTACTCTCTCGTTATTCTTCCAGAGACGAATGGGAACGATAGTTAAGGTAAACGCACCGATAGTCGACCAGTTAAGAATTTCCTGCGTGAACAATAGCTTGCTGCTTCATTAAACGACTCTGCGTGAAGATACTGTTTGAACTTACATTATGCAACGAAGCGAATCTCGAAATAATATTGTCCAAATTGTGTAGGTATTTTCGGAGGTTCAGTACTTGCCAGGAGTTGAGCATATAACGAGAAAACTGATCACAGTGGAACTAATATTAAAGGTGATTAATATTCGTTTGCAGCGATTACGAGAAATTACAAGTAAAGGGACAAATATTGCTGTTGTAATTCCGACAATCTACATCCCGTGCAGAGGTCCGCGAAAAATTGCTACGTCCGTGTTGCGTACAATCCGCTCGAAACGAAGCGGGTCGAGCTCTCGTACCGGAATCGTTGTAAAGGTAACCTACGCGCGGCGCAACGTCCGCGTGCTATCCGATTTCGCTCGACACCCGCGATCCCGCGACGTGGAAACGACCCGTCGCCGTCTTTAATTGGACCCGACGCACGTCGCAGACTCTCCGCCGCGGCTAATTAACGCCTTTCCACCGTTGACAATTAATTGTGGGCCGCGACTTGGGCGGATCGCCGCGCGCACGGAATCGTGAATTCCTTAAATCAGTTTCCTGGATGATTTCTTCGTCTCCTTGCTCGGTTGACGTTTTCCTTAGACATTTTCACTTTTTCGTTAATGCGAGGAGCACCGATGTAGTTCGCTTAATCAACAGGGTTCGCTTAATCAAGAATGGATTCCGAAGTAACGGCGCTGGAGGAATTCTTTTGTCTGGTTGTTGTGGTACGATTCCAAGTTTAGCGGTAGAAGCTTGATTATCGGATTTAATTGGTAACGGTCTAGATAAACCGGGAATCGGGGGAGAACGCTAAAAGTCGAGCGCGATCTAAGAATACGATTTATCGAGCACCGATTTAATCGTGACTCTGGACAATCTGGATCACGGAGAACAGCGACTCGATTAGTCGACTCCTCCCACTGTATCCAGCTGGATAGAGTTATTCGCATTCGGCGGCCACCGACGCGGCGAGCCGACGCGAATCGAACGTCGCGATACCCGTATGTGGGCAAGGTGACGCTCGACGCGTTAAAAAGGATTCCAATGGGAGATGGGTTGCACACGCAGCCCACGTTTGCAGTATTTTATTATACAACCGCCATTGTCCCGACCCGACGTCGCCGAAGAAAGGAGCTCGACGCTCACCTTGGCAATGAGCACACTTGGACGATGCAATTGCGTCAATGCTCGCGTCGACGCGCAATTAATATGCACCGTGCACGCGGCGTCCTTTAAGGAGCTGACAAAATACCGATCGATCCTCTGTTCCTCTCTGTCCTCGCCACGTTCCTCGGATTCCTGACGCTTCGAGCAGAAATAACGACAGATCGCGGCGCTGTATTCTCTGCTGGGTTCAATCCTATCGCGACAGTCATGCAACGACTGTTAACCCTTTGCACTCGAGAGGTGACTCTCAGTCACCGCTTGACTTGACACAGTGAAACTGTAGAATGTGATATTTAATGTTAATCTGTGTATAATGCCTCGATACGTGGAACATTGGAGTAAAACAGCTTTGTTCCTCGATGTACTGGTGATTTCGAATTCTCAAAGAACATCGCCTCGTAAAGAAACGTTAAATATTTCTAGTAAAACATCCGAGTGCAAAGGGTTAACAATGCTCCCTAAACTCTCGGAATGCCTTCTCAATGTGAACTTGATTATACAAAGTTACAACTGCGATTCTCCAATGCTGATGTAAACAGACTTTTGCAAATTGTTCAATACCGTTGCTAACTAACGATGACACGCTCGTCCCACGCATTGGCGCTTAACTTCAGCACCCGGGACGCCGAAAAATCTGAAAAACACGTGTCCACGTCGACAGCAGCGGAAGGGTTAATCGAAAACCGTCGACTCGCGCGTCGAAATCGGAGGACAAAGCTAGGCACGATCGGTTGGCACGGAGATCGGAGGCAGTAATTCTTGTTACTCGCGGTTCGGCTCGGCACGATCAAAATGTAGCGAGAATTTACGAATTGGATAATC